TTTTGGATTTTGGGGGGGATTTTTTGGGGGGAAATTTTTGGGGAGAGTTTTGAGGAAATTTTGGAGATTTTTAGGGAATTTTTTGGGGGGATTTGAGGGAAATTATGGGGATTTTTAGGGAATTTTTGGGGAGAATTTTGGGGAAATTTTTGGGGGGATTTTTGGGAAATTCTGGGGGGAATTTCGGGGAATTTTGGGGCTTTTTAGGGAATTTTTGGGGGAAATTTTTGGGATTTTTTGGGGGATTTTTAGGGAATTTTTGGGGGGATTTTGGGGGGATTTTGGGGGGATTTTGGGGTCCCACAAATCGAAACCAAGCCCGGATCCAGCGGGGGTCGCTTTTATTCCTCGGGAAGAGCCGGAAGAGTCCAAAAATCGGGAATTTTTCAGGAATCTTCCTTCTCCTGAAACCTGCGGGAAAAAAGGCGGGAAAAGTTGGGGGGGGGAGGGGGGATTTGGCGGGAAAATTTTGGGGATTTGGAGGGAAATTTGGGGGGTTTTGGCGGGAAAATTTGAGGGATTTTGGGGTTTTTTTTGGGAAAATTTGGGGATTTTGGGGTTAATTTGGGGGGCGTTTTGGGGATAATTTTGGGGTTTTTTGGGGTAATTTTGGGAATTAATTTTGGGGGATTTTGAGGAAAATTTTGGGTTTTTTGGGTAATTTTGGGGATTAATTTGGGGTTAATTTGGGGGATTTTGGGGTCGTTTTTGTGGGAAAATTTGGGGGAATTTGGGGGTTTTTTTGGGATAATTTTGGGACGATTTTGGGTTTTTTAGGGGTTGTTTTGGGGATAATTTGGGTCAGTTTTGGGTCAGTTTTGGATCATTTTTTGGGTAAGTTTTGGGTGTTTTGGGGGTCAGTTTTTGGGTCAGTTTTGGGTATTTTTTGGGTGTTTTTGGGTCAGTTTTGGGTCAGTTTTGGGTCAATTTTTGGGTGGTTTTTGGGTCAGTTTTGGGTATTTTTTGCGTGTTTTTTGGGTCAGTTTTGGGTCAGTTTTGGGTATTTTTTGGGTCAGTTTGGGGTGTTTTTTGGGTCAGTTTTGGGTATTTTTGGGTGGTTTTTGGGTCAGTTTTTAGGTGCTTTTTGGGTGTTTTTTGGTTCAGTTTTTGGGTGTTTTTTGGGTGTTTTTTGGGTCAGTTTTTTGGGTCAGTTTTGGGTCAGTTTTTGGGTGTTTTTTGGTTCAGTTTTTGGGTCAGTTTTGGGTCAGTTTTTGGGTGTTTTTTGGGTGTTTTTTGGGTGTTTTTGGGCTCTCACCCGCAGCGGGGGCAGCTGTAGAAAACCGTCTGGCCCTCGTCGGCCGAGCGCATCTGACGCGTGCGGTAACTCATCCCCTCGTTCCCACAGCGGGGACAGCGCCGCTCCACCTGCCCCAAAATCCCGGGATTTAACCCCAAAATCCCCAGGATTTATCCCAAAAATCCCCTCGTTCCCACAGCGGGGACAGCGCCGCTCCACCTGCCCCCACATCCCGGGATTTAACCCCAA